ACCGCCAGGTCGCCGGTTCAGATCCTGGTTTTTACGGTGGTGTTGAAGCGTCGTCGGGGCGAGAAACTTCAACAAAAATATGAAAATCAAAGAGGTCAGTGTTAGGGTTTAGAGAAGACAGAGGAAGTTCTGATTTAGTCTTGGTTTAGTCCTGGTTTAGTGTTGGTTTAGTGTTGGTTTAATCTTGGTTTAGTCCTGTTTAGTCCTTGGGTTTAAGTCTTGGTTTAGTCCTGTTTAGTGTTGGTTTAGTGTTGGTTTAGTCCTGTTTTTAGTCCTGGTTTAGTCTTGGTTTAGTCCTGGTTTAGTCCTGGTTTAGTCTTGGTTTAGTCCTGATTTAGTCTTGGTTTAATCTTGGTTTAGTCCTGTTTTAGTCCTGTTTTAGTCTTAGTTTAGTCTTTTTTTTAGTCTTGGTTTAGTCTTTTTTTTAGTCTTAGTTTAGTCTTTTTTTTAGTCTTAGTTTAGTCTTTTTTTTTTGTCTTAGTTTAGTCTTTTTTTTAGTCTTGGTTTAGTCTTTTTTTTTAGTCTTAGTTTAGTCTTTTTTTTTTAGTCTTAGTTTAGTCTTTTTTTTAGTCTTGGTTTAGTCTTTTTTTTTAGTCTTAGTTTAGTCTTTTTTTAGTCTTGGTTTAGTCTTTTTTTTTGTCTCGGTTTAATCTTGTTTTAGTCTTGTTTCAGTCTTTGGTTTAATCTTGTTTTAGTCTTGTTTCAGTCTTTGGTTTAGTCTTGTTTTAGTCCTGGTTTAGTCCTGGTTTAGTGTTGGTTTAGTGTTGTTTTAGTCTTGTTTTAGTCCTGGTTTAGTTTAGTCCTGATTTAGTTCTGGTTCAGTATTGGTTTAGTTCCATTTTAGCTCTGGTGTAGTCCTGGTTTGCTCTGGGTTTAGCTTTTGTTCAGTTCTGGTTTAGTCCTGGTTTAGTCCTGATTTACTTCTTGTTTAACTCTGGTTTAGCCCTTCTTTAGTCATGGTTTAGTCCTGGTTCAGTCCTGATTTAGTCCTACTTTAGTTCTGTTTTAGTCCTAGTTCAGTCCTGGCTCAGTCCTGATTTAGTCCTTCTTTAGTCCTGATTTAGTCCTGGTTCAGTCTTGTTTTAGTCCTGCTTTTGTCCTTGTTTAGTCCTGTTTTAGTCCTGGTTTAGACCTTGTTTAGTCCTGCTTTAGTCCTGTTTTAGTCCTACTTTAGTCCTGGTTTGGTCGTGTTTAACTCTGGTTTAGCCCAGATTTAGTCCTGGTTTAGTTCCATTTTAGTCCTGGTTTAGTCCTGATTTACTCTTAGATTAGTCCTGGCTTAGTCCTACTTTAGTCCTCGTTTAGTCCTGCTTTAGTCCTGGTTTAGTCCTGATTTAGTCCTGTTTTAGTCCTGCTTTAGTCCCGGTTCAGTCCTGTTTTAGTCCTGGTTCAGTCCTGGTTTAGCCCTGGTTCAGTCTTGGTTCAGTCCTGGTTTAGTCTTGGTTCAGTCCTGGTTTAGTCTTTGTTTAGTCCTGGTTTAGTTCCGTTTTAGTCTTGGATTAGTCCTGATTTGTCCTTGTTTACTGCTGATTTAGCTCTGTTTTAGTCCTGTTTTAGTCCTGGTTTAGTCCTGGTTTAGTCCTGGTTTAGTCCTGGTTTAGTTCTGTTTTAGTTTTATCCCTGTCTCTTTTCTTCCTGATGCTGCAGCTGTTTTATATTTTTATATTTATACACAGATCCACTTTTGTCCTTTTCTTTCCCTACGTACTCGTCTGGCCTGTATAGAGCGTTACCCAGGATGCACTGCGGCGGCGGCGGCGGCGATGGCGATGGCGGTCGCGGCGGCGGCAGTATGGCGAGTATAGAAGGGGGAGCGGGGTGTGATGGAGGAGGAGAGGTGAGGACAAACATCATTTCAAACAACGGCTCCCAACAAGTCCGGACTCGAGAAACCAGACACCAGCTCGATGTATAGAGACGAGAACTGCACAAGAACTAACGTCGTTCACGAAAGTGCAGAAAAGTCACGTGGAAAAACTTTTAAAAAAACTACGTAAACTTTGGATTTAAGGTCAGAAGATAAGTGCCCAAAACCAGATGTGAACCAGAACTAAACTAAAAAAATCCGTGTATCATTCGTTCATTCGTTTTTCAAAATAAAACCAAAAATAAGAGAATGAAAAAAACAACGATTTTCTTCATTATTTGTGTGCAAAACCCAAAATGAAAAAAAACAATTTCAGTTTTCGATTTTGTGTTTAAATGAAAAATGGGGGAAAAAAAAAAAACGGATAATGGACAATTCCCGTTTAAGTGATTTAAACTGTAATGCCGGACTGAACCAGGACTGAACCAGGACTAAAACAGAACTAAAACAGGACTAAAACAGGACTAAACCAGGACTAAAACAGGACTAAAACAGGACTAAAACAGGTCTAAAACAGGTCTAAAACAGGATTGAACCAGGACTAAAACGGGACTGAACCAGAACAGAACCGGTACTAAAACAGGACTAAAACAGGACTAAACCAGGACTAAAACAGGACTTAAACAGGTCTAAAACAGGACTGAATCAGGACTGAACCAGGACTAAACCAGAACTAAAACAGAACTAAAACAGGACTAAAACAGAACTAAAGCAGAACTAAACCAGGACTGAACCAGGTCTGAAACAGGACTAAAATAGGACTGAACTAGGACTAAACCAGGATTAAACCAGGACTAAACCAGGGCGGGCCTGGAGGTGTGCCAGCATAGACTGTCGGGTGATCAGGACTGAGACCGGGACCAGACAGGGACCAGACCAGGATTGACACTGGGACTGAGACCAGGACTAACAACAGTTTCGTCCTGGTGTAGTACTGGTTCAGTTCTGTTTTAGTCCTGGTTCAGTCCTGGTTCAGCCCGTAAGTGACAAAATTGGATAAAACTTGGAAACGGCCTTTTTTTTTTTTCAATGTTTTTCAAAATTTTTCAAACTGAAATCAACAACAACAAAATACACTTGAAGTAAAACCAGTCAAAATAAATGTTTCTGAGTGTAATTTGACCTATAAAAGAATCGTTAATATCTCAAAACCTAAAACATCACAAACGAAACTTTTTGCAGCACAAAACAAAACAAAAAAAAGTCTGTATTTTAGTCTTAAAACTACATCCTGAAAGCCACAAAAGTCTGTTCGATCTCCATCTCGCGCTCGCTCTTTCCTTCCTGCTCCGTCGATACAAAAGTACAGATCCACAGCGACAAATGCGGCGAATTCCACCAGGACCAAGACCAAGACCGGACCAGAGCTGAGTCCTAAAGATCTGCTCCAAATCAGTCTGGGTCTGGGATCAATGAGAGGTCAATGACACAGACTCAGCAGAGACACAAGGAAACTAACTGCAGCTGACAGGGTTTACACTGAACACACACGCCAGGCCAGACCGGTCCAGTCCAAACCAGGCTTGACTGCTCCCATATCAGTCTAGACCAGGCCAAACTAGATCCAGACTTGTCAAACCCTGGTAAAACTAGTCCCAGACCAGTTCAAACCGAGCCAGACTAGTATTAGACCAATTCAAACCGTGCCAAATTAATCCCAGATCAGTCCAAATCAGCCCAGACTAGTCCCAGATCAATTCACACCAATCCAGACTAGTCCCAGACAGCTCAATACCTGTCCAACCTAGTCCCAGATGGTTCCAAACCAAACCAGACTAGTATTAGACCAATCCAAACCATGCTAGATTAGTCCCAGACCAGTTCAAATCAGGCCAGATTAGTCCCAGATCAGTCCAAACCAGGTCAGACTAGTCCCAGATCAATTCACACCACACTAGACTAGTCCAAGACTGGTCAAAACCTGTCCAACCTAGTCCCAGACAGTTCCAAACCAAGCCAGACTAGTATTAGACCAATCCAAACCATGCTAGATTAGTCCCAGACCAGTTCAAATCAGGCCAGATTAGTCCCAGATCAGTCCAAATCAGGTCAGACTAGTCCAAGATCTATCCAAACCAAGCCAGATTAGTCCCAGACAGCTCAAAACCTGGCCAACCTAGTCTCCGACCAGTCCAAACCGAGCCAGACTAGTACTAGACTGGTCCAAACCAAACCAAACTAGTATTAGACCAATCCAAACCATGCCAGACTAAGGTCAGACTAGTCCCAGACCAGTCCAAACTGAGCCAGACTAGTCCCAGACCAGTCCAAACAGAACAGAGTAACCCCAGACTGGTCAAAACCAGACCAGACTTTCCCTAAACCAGGTCCGACTAGGCCAAAACCAATCCAAATCAGGCCAATCTAGTTCCAGACCGGTTACAACCAGGGTAAGGTAGTCCTAAACCAGGCCAAGATAGACCAAAACTGATCCAAATCACGCCAGACTAGTCCCAGACCAATTCACACCAGGCCAGACTAGTCTCATACCAGTCCAAACCAAGCATGACAAATCCCTGACAAGTCCAAAACAGGCCAGAGTAGTCCCAACTCAGCCAGACAAGTCCCAGACTGGGCAAAGCCAAACCAGACTAGTACCAGACCATTCAAAACCAGGCCAGACTAGACAAAAATTGATCAAAACTCGGACAGACGAGTACTAGACAAGTCCAAACCAGGCCAAACTAGTCCTAGATCAGTCCAAACCAGGTCAGACTAGTCCTAGATCAGTCCAAAATGAGCTAGATTAGTTCCAGACCAGTCCATACCAGGCCAGACTAGTCACTACACCATCACGTGACACTTCTGAGGAATGCTACAAGAAGTATAAGGCAGGTAAACAAACTCTCATGTCAGAATGAACTTTTACTGAAGGTAGAAGCAGACCGGTCAAAGCCAGGCCAGACTAGACCCAAACCGATCCAAAACAGGCCAGACTGCTGTTTCATTGCAACATCAACAAATCTTGGATCGATACAAAAAAAATCAACCCTGAATATAAAACATTATGTAATCAATTCAAATGTCTGTAAAACTATGATAAATATTTAGCACAGGTACAGTCCCGACAAAGCAGGTCAGGATAAGAAAAACACACGACTCTGTGAAATGCAGTTTGAGTTCAGGTTCTTACCGGTCGATGATGACGGGGTCTGACGGCGTCTCGTTACGATTCCCACAACTTTTCTTATCACAACACCGGCTGCAAAACACACAAACAAAAAGAATAACGTAAGATATTTTTACTTATGAAATCCTTGAACAAGTTGGAAGATACAGCAGTAGAGAGTAGTTGCAGTAGTAGTAAAAGTACTGTTACTCAAAATTTGTATTCAGAAAATCTAGTTCCTATATATGTGATAATAAATGATGATAATATGATCAATTATTAGATTCCGATATTAGATTATTAGATTCGATTCAACATTATTGTCATTACACATGTATAAATACAAGGTAACAAAATGTGGTTTAGTGTCTAATCAGAAGTGCAAGGAGCAGCAAGTGAGACATATACAGAATGAGGAGCATACATACAGTAATATAGAAAATATACAGAATATTACAGTGTAGATTTTAGTGAATATATACAAATAAATATGTCAGTATGAACAGGAGGAAATTAGATATAATATACATGGGGGACATATAAACAGATGTATTGTAAACAATATATACTTTTAGTTATACTCTTAGTTTCGGTATATGTATTAGTTTACTCCCAACACATGTAGTACTGGAGTGGTAGTGCTAAAAGTATAACTATTTTTATTGTAGTAGTGATAGTGGAGGTTTAGTTAGTTAGCTCTGTTAAAAGCTCCTATATTACACAAAATCAACTCTTGTGAGCTTTAAGTCGTGTTATAATGTTGTTACCTCCTCAAAAACAGACCTGCAGTTGTGTTTTGTTTCATGCACATGTTTGTATAATTATTTATTATCTATTATTAGTCTGTCTGAAGCTCCAAAGCTCAAAGTGCTCTGTTTCACATTGTGATGTCATGTAGTGGTAGTTTTCTGATAACAGCTAATTTTACCTTTTACCAACTCCAAGGTTTGTCCAAAAAGGAAATTGTCCAAATGATTCTAAAGAAGGTGTAAGAGAAACTCAAAGTCACAGAGGCCAAAATTAAAAACTGGGACTAAGTTGTGGGCCAAAACTAAAAAAAATTTCAACAACATCTGCGTGTTTTCTCTTCTTTTGAGATATGTAATGTTAAACCTTTTCTTATTAAAATAAATGTTTAATAATAGTTTTGCTTAAACACTGAATCCAGAACAAGTATAATATAAAATAATAATAACATTTTAAATAAATAATGTCTCTATAGTCGATCTGTAGCTGGCGGGCAGCTCTAATACATATTTGATATGATCTCAAGGGCCAAATATAATTATATCACGGGCCAAATTTGGACCCCGGGCCTGAGTCTGACATGTCTGAATTAAGTCATTCCACATATCTCTCAGTTTAACATTGATTCACAGGAGCTGCAGTAACACGATCATCTTCCCTTGGCACACCCTCGGTACACCATTATATAAACTGTGGCATATTTCTGTGTAACCGGTGTCTACTGGCCTCATAGTCTCACCACACTCGCTTTATAAACCTCCTCCTTTGAGATACAGAGTAAAGGGGCTTGAACACTCAAAGATCAGACTCTGTTCACTTTTGAAATCACACTATTTTGACTTTTCTAAATCCCCCTGGGCCCATATTATTGATGGTAAATAAACTTCTTCTGCTTAAAGGGACAGTCCGGAATTTTGGACATAGGACCACATTTCCGCGTGAGCCAGAGTGTTGGAGACGTGTGGAGACACTTTTTAAAATATTCCAACCAGTCCTTGTATTTGCAGAGGTCACTGGTGCTAGACTAGTGCATGTCAATGGCCATAGTTTATCCTGCCACTAAAAACAGTCTTACCCACTCCACAAAACACCCGAAGAAAATCTATTATTACACCAGACTGTCCATGTAAATGTCTGTGTTGATAGAATAATGTTTGAAATAAAACTAACTTTGCATCGCATGAATCGTCGCATGTTGAGGGACTATTTTCTCATATATCAGTCCGCCGACATAAATCCTTCAAATGCAAGGTTGGTTTTACTTCTAAAATTATTCTATCAACACAGACATTTACATCAACAGTCTGGTGTAATAATAGTTTTGTTTTGTGTGTTTTGTGGAGTGGGTAAGACTGTTTTTAGTGGCAAATACAAGGACTGGACACGTCTCCAACACTCTGGATCACGAGGAAATGAGGTCCTATGTCCAAAATTCCGGACTGTCCGTTTAAGACGTCCACTTGGTTTCCAGCCTTTTACTTCCACCTTTTCTTGGACAAGCTGAAAACTTCAACAACAGAAGGTGTATGGAGTTTAAAAACACAGTGGAGCATGACATCACAATGAGTGTTTTCAGTTTGAGAGAAGAACCTAAATCTGCAGAGTTTGTGCGTTTAAGATGTGTGAATGAACCAAAACACAACTCCAGGTCTGTTTGTAATGAGGAAATAACTTTATAACAGATCAGAAAATAAAATAATATCGTCCCTTTAATTGTAAACTATTATAAAAACACTGATAATGCACAAAAAAAAACTGTAGAGCGGAGTGAACCTGGCGTGACCCTGCGTCTCTGTGTGATCTGTGAGGAGCACAGGGGCCCAGCTGGTCCAAGTCCAGACCAAGGTCAGGACTTTGGACCAGGACCAAGACCTGGCTCTGGCCAAAGGGACCGGCCAAAGAGGGACACAGGTGAGAAAAAAAAAGAAAACGACACAAATGTGTGCCAAAAAACGGATTATCCAAGTAAAAGGACGACAGGTTTAAACACAGGCCTTCAGAATAAAAGTCTGAAATGTTTCACTACGACCAGGACAAAGAGAAGTCATGGATCAGGACTAAATCAGGTAAGGACTAAACCAGGTCTAAACAAAGACTAAATCAAAACCAAACTGAGACTAAACCAGGTCTAAATTGGGACTAACTCCGGGACTAAACCAAGCCTAAACTGGTCTAAACCAAAGTCTAAATTGGAACTAACCACCCAGACCAAGGACCCAACTAGGTCTAAATGAGGACTAAATCATTATTAAACTGGGACAAAACAAGGGCCCAACCAGGTCTAAATTGGGACTAATACTAGGACTAAACCAGGTCTAAATTGGGACTAATGCCAGGACCAAACCAGGTCTACATTGGGACTAACACCAGGACAAAACCAGGTCTAATCCAGGGCTAAACTGGGACTAAACGAGGACCCAACCATGTCTAAATTGGGATTAACACCAGGACCAAACTAGGTCTAATTTGGGACTAACACCGGGACTAAACCAGGTCTAAACTAAACTTAAACTTTGACCAATGCCAAGACTAAACAAGGTCTAAACCAGGTCTAAACTGGGACTAACACCAGGATTAAACCAGCTCTTCTAAACTAGAACTAACCACTTAGACTAAACAGGGGCCCAACCAGGTCTAAATTGGGACTAATTCCAGGACTGAACCAGGTTTAAACCAGGTCTAAACCAAGCCTAAACTGGTCTAAACAAAGTCTAAACTGGAACTAACCATCCAGACCAAGGACCCAACTAAGTCTAAACTGGGACTAATACCAGGACTAAACCAGGTCTAAACTAAATCTAAACTTTGACCAATGCCAGGACTAAACAAGGTCTAAACCAGGTCTAAACTGGGACTGATACCAGAATTAAACAAGTTGTTTTAAACTGGAACTAACCACTTAGACTAAATAAGGCCCCAACCAGGTCTAAACTTGGACCAAGCAGGTCTAAACAAGGACTAAATCAGGTTTAAACAAGGACTAAACCAGGTCTAAATAAACACAAACTAAAGGAGGTCAGGAAAAGGGTCAGAGGCTTGTACCAAAGACAGGACTAAAGCTGGAATATTTCTCATACTTAATACAATAAGAAAAAGTAAAAATAAATAAATAAATAATAATAATAATAATAATAATAATAAATACATATTTTTTTTAAAAAAAAAATAAAAATAATAAAAAAAAAAATAGGCTAAAATATTGTGTTGAAAATGTCAAATTACTAACTTTTTCAAACAATTATTATTATTATCAAAAAAAAAAAAAAAAAAGTTAAACACATATGCCTATAATTATGCATTTAACTCGTACAAATTAAATAAATAAGAGTGGTGACAGTGGACATCCCTGTCGCGTCCCCCTCTGAGCCCAACATTGTGATGAGGAAGTTTCTCTCTTGGCCCCATGTTGTTCTGAATACATTGATATTTAGCACCATTTAGTTCCTGTCACTACAGCACCTGTCATTACAGCGCCTGCCCTGACAGCATTAATTTATTTGAAAAAAAAAAAAAAACATTAGAATTTAAATGGTTGTGCGTATTGATTGTATCTTTAATTCATGTCCGTCCTTAAAGTCTGATTGATCATGAAACATCAGAAAATATGAATATCAACAAAAACAAGATGGAAGTAGTGGAATAGTTTAGTTTTAGTTAGATTTTTGGATTTTCAACATATTTTCTATTATTTTTTTAATTTTTATTGAATTCTAATAAATTTGTTTGCAGACTGTAATGATCAACTTTGGACTTTGTAAATAGTATATATATATTTTTTTTATGTTCTTTGTTTAGGTTTATTACTGGTTCGGACCTGGCAAAGGTTTGGTTTAGATCAGGTTAAAGATTTTCTAAATAAACTGATTTTTTTGGAGCTTTCTACCCAGACTAAATCAGGACTGATCCTAGAACTGAACCAGGACTAAACCAGGACTGACCCAGGACTGATCCTAGGATTGAACCAGGATTAAACCAGGACTGATCCTAGAACTGAACCAGGACTAAACCAGGACTGATCCTAGGATTGAACTAGGAGGACTAAACTAGGTCTAATCCAGAACTGAACCAGGACCAAACCAGGACTGAACCAGGACCAAACTAGGTCTAAACCAGGAATGAACCAGGATTGAACCAGGACTGAACCAGGACTAAACCAGGACTGAACCAGGACCAAACCAGGACTGATCCCAGGACTGATCCTAGAACTGAACCAGGAGGACTAAACCAGGACTGAACCAGGACCAAACTAGGTCTAAACCAGGAATGAACCAGGACTAAACCAGGACTGATCCTAGGACTGAACCAGGAGGACTAAACCAGGTCTAAACCAGGACTAAACCAGGACT